TTTTTTAACCAAAAATATGTATAAAACATAAATAGTTTTTAGGTAATTTGTTGACTAGTTAATGTAGTATTAACTTATATGGTGATACTTAAAAAGAAATACCTGTCATGCATAAAGTGTAAAGAGTGTTATCTTCAACATCCCATTTAACTGTTGGTTCATCTTTTACTTGTGTTGGCGTAAGTTCGTTTCCATAATCTACATTGACACCACTAGGATATGATACCTAAAAAAAAAATTAGTACAATATTAAAAACTGAAATAAATATTGCATGACTTTAAAAGTTAAATTAAATACTATAATACAATAAAAATCCAAAATATTTATTATTTTAATTATTTAATTGTTGTGAGAATAAATAATTTAAATATTAAATTCAATATTTAGGAATAAAACATTACCAAATTATTTTTCTGGACAATTTGATAGATTTTTAATAAATAATATCATAAATTTAAATAAATTATTAACTTCATTTTATGAAGTAAAACTAGTTTATACTTCCTAGAGTGTTATATTCAATATTTTAATATATGTGTCATGCCATATATTGATGCTAGTTTTAAAATCCATTTGGTATATTAAAACCAATCAAACTCTTTAATAGACTTCAAAATAGTATTTTCAATTTGTATTTACATATAGAATAAAGGTTTTACAATATGCCAGGGATCATAAAATATTGACAGAAAGATATGATTGATCTTCATGTAGTACTATGTTGATAAAATAATAAAACTTTTATAGATAAAAATTAACATTTAAGTTTTTAAAACAGTATTATAGAGCTTAACAGAAAGTAACAGAGCTAAAATTGGAAAAGTTTAATTAATTTAAATTGAATGAATCGTTACTTGTATTTTTCCTTTAGGGGCTTCAGGAATGACATCTGGCACAATTTCATGTTGTTCCATGATCTTTTGATAATTAACAGAAGTACTGAAACGAGCAGATAGTTGTGTAAAAACTTGAGAAAATAATCGTGTACAAGTGACTAATAATGCCATGAACACAGTCAATAACAAGTGCGGAAATTGAAGAAAAATTGCTATAAATAACAGAATAGTTATCCAAAACTGTTGGTGTTTTTACAGAATTTTAATAAAAAAAATTTATGTATTACCACTATATTAGATAACGAATAATATGATTGAGTAATTCTAAATAACACTTGAAGCCGATAATAGTTTTTTTTTTCAATAAAGATTACATAAATGATTACTTCTATGCATTACTAATCTGTTGAATTATGCGTACATCCAATGTAATCAAATTATTTTTAAGTGATTAAAAGATAAACAAAATTCCATGGAAGAAAAACAGCACAAAGCGCTTGCTTTTTAAAAAGATTAAGATTTAATATAGTTAATACATGAAAGTCCGGTTCACATGTACAATATTTATGAATATTAAATAAAAGATATCATAGTATATTTATTTTAGTATTTAAAACATCATAAAATGTTTATAACAAGTTAATGAACAAAACCTACACCATTTTCGTAGGGTAATCAAATTTTTAGGAGATTGAGCTAAAATTAATTCTTTTCATACGCCGGTGATTATCATAATACGAAATTATAGAGAGTATAACAAAAAAATATTTAAAAATCTATTAAGCTTTGATTAAAGTATTGGTGGAATAAAAAAATAGATTTAACATAAAATAATGTAAAAATAATTGGGCTGATTGTTATTTGTTGAAATATTACTATTTTATGACATAAAAGGTGTAGTAAAATTTTACTAGATCTAAAAAAAAAGTGAAGTATTTTTTAAATTTCAGCTTGGTTTATAAGCCTGGCAACTACTTAGCATTTAATTTTGTTATAATTAATTTAAAATAGGCCTTTTGAGCTATCTGAGATATTTGAGGAAGCATGCTAGCCCCTTTAGTTATGACCCTTTATAGTATTTCAATTCATTGTCATCCAAATAACAATTTTATATAATTATATAGTAAAATCATTGAGTGTAGAAAATTTTTCATTTATGAAAAGAGTTCAGTAAAAGAAGATAAAATTTAAGGAACTAAAGAAATAAAGTTTTCGTATACAATTTCATCTGAAATTACTAATATTATTTTTATTAATAATCTGTAAAGGCATTAAAATTTTTTAAAGAAAATTTCATTTTTTAAAATTTATTTGAAGTATAATTTTTTTGGACTAAACCTCTTTAATAAATAATAATTCTTATAGATTGCTGTTAATACTCAATTATTTAATAAGTAATTAATAAAAACAAATATTTGTTCAAAGTTTAGAATTTATTTTGATAAAAATTATATAATGAAAACAACAAATGTAACATAAATACATAAACAATGGTTTATACATTTATTTATACAGTACTATGATTTATAAATACCCTATTTAAAGAGTGTTTTAATATATAATAGTTTTGTTTTTTTAAATAAATATTGTAATAAATTTCTGTTCAAGTTGTAGTTGGCTGTTTGTAGCGAAGTGGCACATAATCATCATATTGTGCCTGATAAAAATTACCAGCAACTGGTAATCCAAGATTGTATTTCTGAGCAAATTTATGAATAGAAAAATGAGTACGATTACCAGGTGACCTAAATTACCATTTTGATTAATATTATATTATTAATATAGTAGAAGAATTCTTAAAAATAATTACTTGTTAGTAACATATGGTTCATTAAATATTAATTTAGATGGTTGTTTGTATACCAAAAATACATAACGATGAAGTCCTAGAAACAGAATCAAATAAAAAGAATAATCAAGTAAAAATGATGATACGTAAGTAAATACCAGTATCTAGAGGAGGTCCTGAACCAATATATTCTGTAAGAGTTTCACCTTTGCTTATTTCAGTACCTGGTATATTTCCAACAAGCCAATG